CGAATCACATGGAAACCTATTATTTTAGAAGGATTTCAATAAAGGAATCATTTTTTTATTTTGGAAACTAGGGAAAGCACATTATGAATGCGTGCTTAAGCAATGAATCATGCAATGCATATTGATTACCTTGAGCATTTGCATAGCATTCTCCACAACTGCACGAAGCTTTTGTTCAGATAGCAATGGAATGCCATTTACTTTGAGAGACTGTAGCTTCTTCTCTTCAAACTTTGCTATGGATGACGGATCAAAGTTGTCAAAAAGTTTCCTGCAGGGGGCCCAAGGGGTACAAAACAAGCATAAAACTATAAGCATACAGTCTACAGGCATATCTTTCTTCACAAAGCTCGCTAAACTATAGATGCAATATGGATTATGATAAATGGAAACAAGCATACCGGAACATGTCTCTCTTGTGTAGAATTTCTGGCCAACTGAGTTCGGCTAGAGCTTGTGAAAGGACGAGCAACTCAAACAGCTTCTTATCATCATAAACTGGAACCCCCCATTCTTCATCGTGGAAACAAGTATAAACTGGGTCTGTTGTTCAGGTTAAAGTAGCAAGCAAGAAATTTCATTAGGCCAGAAAGCAATGTTTCGATTAAGGCGGCTAATCAATGGAAGTCAAAAAAATGTTAAGGATCATATTCCGGTGGAAGCCAACGCCCTTGTAAAGAAATGTTGCAACTCTTCAGGCATAGAATTGTGTTAATTCCTAATTGAGTTTTTGGTTTCTTCAAGAAACACATTTGCACCATCTTGGTAATAAAATTATGTCACTCAAACTAAATAACATTCTCAATTCTCAAACACTCTACCCTATCCTCAATCAAACAATTCTGCACAGTAAAGAGGTCCACCTAATTATCAATATAAAGCAATATAATTATAAAAGAAACTTCATAATCTTTTCATGAAATGAGAAAAAAAAAAAAAAAAAACAGTTCATATTTCTTGCATGTATAAATTAAGGAAAGCATTTTACACTCAAAATTCCAAATTTTCATATCTTTCTCGTCAATTTCGCAGCAGGCAAACATATATAAGAGGAAAATGAACAAAAGCACGGCTAATTTACCAGAGTTCGGTGTAATCCATTCACACCGTTTAGGTGGACCCGCGGGCTTGACGACCTCCATATCGTCCGAAACAAGCTTCGCAGGCCTCAAGCTCTTGTGCCTTACAGTCCTTCTAGGACTCACCGTTTTGGCAGATGAACAACTCGACGAGGTATCAGAAGAGCAGGTGCTGTCCACCGAAAAGTTGTTCCGTACAACCGCTTCTGGAATTTCCGATACAGGTTTTGTCGGCCTCTGCGGTGGCTTCTTCAAGCCCTCGTTCTTGCGTTTCGGGGCCTCTGAAACCCTAACTCTGTTCCCGCCGGGACCGAGTACAGCTCGGGGCTCACAAATCGAAGATTGAAGCTTTGTAGCCACAGACATTGCTGTAGATATTTTCAAAAGAGAGCCCAGCTGGGTTTGCTTTTGAGCTCGAAAACGACGACGCTTCAGCTGAATTTTCTCGTGAAGAAGAAAGGTTATGCTTCTGTTGCGTGTGTTTGCTTGGGGGTTGTGGTGGTGGTTAGAGAGGATATTAGGGCGTCAGCGGAGGGTAAAACGGTAAGAAAAAAGGTTGAGTGAAGCTGAGAGCAGAAACAGAGCAGGTGAGGTGTGAGGAGCGTGAGCGTGGAGTGGAGAAAGCAGAGGGGCGCAAAGTGACGACAAAACGACTGTTTTCTGCGAATTTAAAACGCATCGCCGGAATGGGTAAGGCACCGGTAACACCCGGTAAATAGTGCTTGCGTGTCGGTGACAGACATTGAACCGTTTTGGTTTTGAAAGCGATGGTATGGGCAAAGTTTTCCCGAAATACCCAAATTGCCCATACGCAGTTCCCTGAATTGCATTAACTGTGAGTTGCTTCAAAATTAGGACATGGTACCAAATAACTTTCTAATATTCTTTTCCCCAAAAAAAAAAAAAAAAAAAAAAAACTTTCTAATATTCTAAATTTACAATTTTTGAAAGAGATATTTGATTTTTTTTTCCTTAATTCAATAAAAAAGCGATATCATGTACACAAAATATGCTTAATGAATCATAGTTAGTGTATCAATTTTGTTGAAATTGTATTTAAATTTGTCGTAAAAAATAAAAGAAAAAGTACAATAACAAGAACAATAAATGGGGCCACGAAAATGACAAGTGAACCAAAATTACTTGATTATGATAAAATAATTCCTTTGTTGTTGGTTTTAAGGTTGGTTACATGCGAATTTGAATTTAATTAATTTTTTCCGACCATTCATAAGTTTGAATTTTCTTTAAATTATATTAATTTAAAGTAGTTTAAATTGTTTGTGTCAAAGCTTAATTAATTAAGCTGCCTCTCTTTTGACAATCGATCAAATTCATTAGTCTGCACCCATAAACATGCGTAACATACAAAGTGAATCATGTTATGAGTTGATTGAAGGGGTATTGATGGTATTTCAGGTATTCAAAGTGAACCACCACCAGAAACCATAGAAGGCGGAAGTGGCGGTTGGAGGAACAACCGGTGGTTTTAGGCTATGAGTCGCAGTCAGTTGGTAACGTTTGGGGGATGATGTAAATTGCAAAATGGGTTACGTGTTACTTGTTTGTTACATTGCATATAACTTATAAGATAAGATGAGAATGAAAGATGATATACACAAGCTTGGTCTTGGTGGGAAGGTGGCTTCCTTACCGTTGAGTAAAAGAATCCAAAGTTGAACAAAAAGATAAGAAAACAATAGTGGGTATACAACGGCTATTTATGTATCCGACTCGGTATGCTAAACATTGATTGGGCTGGGCCTTTCTATCTTGGTCCTCGCAGAGGAGAGGAGAGTGGAGGCGTGAGTAGCTTCCATTGCTATTGTGACTCATTCTATTATGGGTGATTGTGGTTCAGTAACTATAAATTTTTGTCCAAATCGCAAATCGACGGATTATTTGCAGTATGGTAATTTTTGAAACCGCAAACCGACTGCAAAAAACGGTCGGTTATCGTGAATTAGCAGTTTAAAACCGCAAGTTCTTTTTGTGTCATAAAAATCTTATCTTCCACATTTTATGCCTAATTTTGATGCTTCTTTTGAAGCCTTTTGATTTCAAACATACTTTAACCCAAAAATATAAATTCACAACCTAAATAAATAAATTCACAACCTCAACTTCTCAAGCATGTATAAATTCACAACCTCCTCAACTTCTCAAGTATTCACAACCTAGAGAAAATTAAAATTACAATTCCAAGCATTCCAATTAAAGTTAAACTTCTCAAGCATTCACAATATCAACTTCTCAAGTATTCCAATTCTAAATCCTTTAAAGTTACAAACCAAAAGGAAAATGCAATGCAAAATGAATTAAAGTTACAACCCAAAGGAAAAATCCAATTCAAAGTTAATTAAAGTTACAAACTAGAAGGAAAATGCAATGCACCAATGTTACAAATTAAAGTTACAAACTCAAGTGTTGGTGGTGGTGAGTGGATTTGAAGGACCCCGTTGTATTGTTTGAGCACCAATGCTATCTACAAAATGTAATTTTTTATTTATTTATAAATATAGTCGCTGTTTGCGGTAACCGCAAGTTTTGAAAATCAAATACCACAACTGCAAATGCAGTTCGGTTCTTCATACCGCAAATACGATTTGATTCTTCATACCGCAAATGCGGTTCGGTTTCTCCCATCAATTATTTGTTGGGGAATTAGTACTGAAGGAGTGCGACAAATCAAATCAATAGTGATAAATAGCTGAATATTCCTGTCTTAACAATTAATCATATGTAACAAACGGGGGCTTATTGTCTAATTTAAGCCCATGTACCATTAAAGCAACAAAGAAAGAAACAAAAAGAGACGCACTTCCAAAGGATACAAGGTTTGCATGGACACCAGATGCAACTAATGCATGCAACATCCTACGCTAGCTGATCATACATTTTCTTTCATTTCTTCTCTTCTCTATATATACGTACATCACGGGACCAGTCACTAATAGAATTCCAAGCGCCTCGTCCTCCACCATGTCAGCTTCCTCAACATCACCACTGAAGTCTCCGCTGCCCAAACTGACCTCCTCCTCTCACCAACCCTCTTGTCCGGACTCCATGTCATCGACCTCCCTCCCGCTGCATTTGATCCATTTATTTGAATTCTTGTTTGTGGCTTATTTTGTTAAAATTGGTAAAAGAGAAGAACTTGCAGATAAATTTCTCGTGGTTTTGTTGATATTTTAGCAAGCAGATACAAATCTTAAATACAAGAAAGGAAAAGCTGTACAAGTAAAGTTAACTAAACTTGTGCCCCTAAAGTCTTGCAACTGATTACAATCAAAATAATGAAAAGATTGTATAAGAGCAGATTCTACAATTATGGCTTGACTTAAACATGACTAAAGAGATTTGCTGATTCTCAATATGTTTAGCTAGCTAGAGGGTCTACAATCCTATGGCAGATTGTTCAAGACTAGTCAACTTTTTCATATGATTGAATCTGACTCGTCTCAGAGAATACTACTTTACTTCAAGTTCTGACTTGAGTTGGGCTCAAACACTGAGTTCGTCTTTCTCATTGGGTTTACAACTAACTAAAGAATAAGCGATAAAGAAAAAAAATACAAGAGTGGGAGAGGAGAAAGTGAGCGTGTAAAAATTGAAACAAGACAAATATTAAAACTATTAGGTGCCAAATAATTGGTACTGAATTATTTTTGATTGACAAAAAGTGTGGTCCTAAATAATATTAGTCTGCATTTGGGTGTCCACATGAGATATTTGGCAAGTCACACGGTCTTGCGTCACATATGCAGATAGGCAGGTAAGGCGCACACCATCAAACTACTGATGAGCATATTTTATTGCTAGCATACACATCTCACCTCTGTGTCCTTTTAGAACTGCTGTCTGTTGGTACATTTTGTTAATCCAATAATAATATTGGGCATGAACATGCGCAGCATGAAACGAGCATATCCCAGATCTGGGGAGGGACATTGTTTTTTATATATAGTTGTTGATGAGGTTTTGTTTTCGTATAATATAACTCCTCCGCGAGGTACTTACTTCAAGAATCTAACGAAAACAAAAACAAACCGACAGGCTCTTGGTGTTTTTTACAATCTGTTTGACTTTTCATGCTTTTTTTTTTTTTTTTTTGGTGGTCAATAATGAACAAAGGTTGTAGTATTCTATTTAATTGGATGATTTACAACTGAGTATGCACATGAATACAATAAGATAATGTTATCAGCTCAAAAGAGTGGACAATGGTGAGTTGGAGTTAGAAACATCATGTGGAGAAAGCTTTTGCTTATCACTCGATTCATAAACCAACTTCTTTGCTTTGCCTTTTCTAATTCACATTAAAAAGTCTAGAGCTGCGATTTTACAAACATGGTGGCCAGAGAGACGACCCAGAAGAAGCCCCATGTAGCTGTCCTAGCAAGCCCAGGCGTGGGACACGTCATCCCTCTCCTTGAGCTAGCCAAACGACTTGTCGTTGACCACGGCTTCCAGGTCACCTTTCTTACCATCTCCACCGACGCACCACCAGCCCAGATTCAGCTCCTCAACAGTTCCACCCTCCTTCCCGACCTCCACGTCATCCACCTCCCTCATGTTGACGTGTCAAATCTACTCACCCCCTCCACGGGCGTCTCCGTTCGCATCGTTCTCATCGTCCGGCAGACCCTCAGCTATCTACCATCAGTCCTAACAAATATGCAACCGCACATCCAATCTCTCATCGTCGATCCATTTTGCGTGGGAGCCGTCGAATACGCCGCCGCCTTCTCCATCCCCACGTACCTTTTCTTGACGACTTCCGCTTCGTTTACGGCGTTGACCATGTACTTCCCCACGCTTCATGCACAGGTTGACGGAGATTATTCTAAGATCGCCGAGAAGGTTGTTGTCCCCGGTTGCAACCCCTTGTTGCTTGACGATCTTATCCCTGGGGTTTTGATGCCAGAAGTCCTGCCTCTATGCAACCAGATTCCGTTGGTCAAGGGCGTTTTCATAAATACATGGGAAGAACTTGAGCCGGTCACCCTTGGCGCTGTTAGGAAGAATCCTTTCTTTCTTGGTCTACCAGCGCCTCCGATTTATCCCATCGGACCCATGACCAAGGGCAATGAAGATGAACCGCTGACGTCAACACTGGAACCGAAGAAGATGCTGACGTGGCTGGACAAGCAGCCACCCGATTCGGTTGTATACGTGTCGTTTGGGAGCGGAGGGACGCTGTCTGGTGAACAGATGAGCGAGTTGGCTTGGGGACTGGAACTGAGCCAAACACGGTTTGTTTGGTTGGCGCGACCCCCGAGTGAAGTCAGTGCGTCGGGGAGCTTTTTCGAAGCCGGTTATGATGCGGAGGGTGCGGCGTCGTATTTGCCAGATGGGTTTCTGGACAGGACGAGGGAGAGGGGCCTGGTGATATCCTCGTGGGCCCCGCAAGTGGCGGTGCTGAGTCATGGGTCCGTTGCTGGGTTTGTGACGCACTGCGGGTGGAATTCTGTGTTGGAGAGCATAGCTCAAGGGGTAGGGATGATTGCGTGGCCTCTGTACGCTGAGCAGAGCATGAACGCGAGGATGCTGGTGGATATGGGAGTGGCTGTGTGGCCGAAGCCGGCTGGGGACAGAGCGGTGGTGGGGCGAGGTGAGGTTGAGAGGGTGGTGAGGTCTGTTATGGAAGGTGAACAAGGAAAGGCGATGAGGCAGAAGGTGATAGAGCTTCAAGGTACTGCACTCAAAGCTTTGGGTTTAGGCGGGTCGTCTAATGCATCGCTGGCAGGCCTGGCAGACGAATGGAGGGCGGGAGGCTCACCTTGATTTGTTATATATGTAACGGATGCCGAATAAATGCACCACCTCTGAATATAAGGACTCGAATCCGTAGGTGACATAGCAAATCCTAAAATTACAAGTCCAACTGATCTCGCCATGCTGGTGTGTGTTGTGCCCAAATTCTAAAGGTTGTCATTAGCAATAAACTGATGACACCATTACGAATTTTCTGTTTTACATCTACTTGAAAATATTGCCAACTTTTTCTTGGTTGAATAAAATATTGTAAATCCGTTCGTTGTTTGAGATTTCAAGGGAGTTCGTCAATCTCTGATTTGATCAATCTAAATGATGTCAACCTTTGTTTTGTTTCAAGGGAGTTGGTCAATCTCTGATCAAATTACACTTGGCCCAACTTGCCAAAAAGTCCAATTCGGGCTCAAGTTGGGCTAAGTGTAATTTGCGCAAGTTGTAAACAATTTGATTCGGAACTAACTAATGCGATCTCTTAGTTAGCCCAATTCCAGGAAAAAAGGCCCATTAAAGACTGTTCGAACAAAAGAAAATAAATAAATAAATAAACGAAAAGATAGAACAACAGGTGGCACGCGGCCCAATAAAGGAAGGAGAACGGTTTTCGCGCCGAACGGCGCCGTAGGGCTTCAAAAACGTGAAATTTAATTTATTATTTTAGGAGCCATAACGGTGTCGTTTGGTTGTAGGTGATTCATTTTCTCCTAAGTTCCTAACGAACAATTGACCAAGCAAGAGTCTGGTTCTCTCTCGCTCGCTCTCTGCAACTCACATGGATTCCAAAGCTTCAACAACTGCCACTCCTCTACTGAATCGGGAAAAACCTAATAATCTTCCATCAAATCCCAAGAAGGAAAGAGACTTCCTGAACCACGTCGAAGCGTACCTCGCAAAGAGAGATGGCGTGGACAAGCTCCTCAAGATATCCAGGTACGCCACCAAGATCATACTCGCCTCATCTGCCCTCCCCGAAACCCTAACCTTAACTCACCGCCTCAAGAGCTTCGAGTCAAGTGTAGGGGTGAGCCGCAAAGCCTTTAGGCTCGGCAAGTTCGTCCAGGACGTGAACGGTCTGAGAAACTCGAATTTCGATTCGAATGAAGACCTCGTCCTCTCCCTCATCGCCTATGGAGGCGAGGGCTTGTATTTCTTCGTCGAGCAATTCATTTGGTTGGCCAAATCTGGTTTGATCGATAGCAAACACTCGCGCAGTTTGCAAAAAATCAGCGCTTGGGCCGAGTTCATTGGGTACGTCGGTAGCATTTCGTTGAAATTTAGGGATTTGAATCGAATTTCCGAAGATGAAAAGTGCCTGAAATCGAGCATTGAGATCGCAATTACGAGGGGAAATAAGTGCCAGGAAGAAAAGGAGAGATTAAGTATATTGTGTGAAAAGAAATTGATGAAGAGGCTTTCTGTTGTTCAAGATGCGGCCGACGCGTTAATGGCATTAGCTGATATTCGTGACGGCGATGGGCCCTTTTTGGGGCCGCTTTCGATCTCGTTAGCCGGGATGCTATCGGCACTAATTAGCACTCACAAGAATTGGGTGTCTTGCTGAGTTTCATGTCCTTCTTACGAGGTATGGTTGCTGGAAACTTGTTCCTTAATTTGCTTATTGAATGATCAGTTTAGAGCTTGAAACTGCAAATTGTAAGGAAGAGGTCCTCGTTTTTCTGGTTGTTACATTTCTCATGAATAAAACGACATACAGGGGTCTGTAAAAGGCAGTGGTTCAATAAGGATTTATATTTGTGCATATTGCTATTCTTCTTTTATGTTTTAAATGTTTCTTTGTAGGAATTGGGAATTGGGAATTGGGATGTATGTAATCAAGAGTTGGTACATGACCTTATTAGTATGTCAATGTTTTAGATAATTGAGACTGAAAGGAACTTCTTTGGATAGATTTTAATAGAGATGTGTGACTGTGAAGCTCACAACATTCATACCAACTGATCAAAAGCTCCTAGTTTGGGATTTAAAACCAATAATGGGCTATGAAGCTTGTGATTTTCATGTTTAGTTGTCTTATGCATCTTCGTTGTCGTCGTACTTGGCATATTGACCAGTTAGGAACAATATTCCCTTTTTACATTTGTGGAAGAATATGAGGATAAAGTGCAACTGAAACCTTTACTCATTCTTGAAACTCCTCTTGTTCCTTCCTACCCTGTTTATCTGAAATCTATAATCTCTTACCATTCAGTTGCCACAGTTCCTTCCTATTGATCACCAATTACAGTGCTCATATAATTTTCAATAGGTTTTGTTCTTTCTGGACTTGACTTTGCTTTGACATATGATTTGATGCAGTGTTGTGTAATCATTAATTTTCAAGAACATGAACAACACAGTGCTTAAAGAAATTTCAAAATTGGTTTAACTAATCAGTCAAACTAACAGAGTGGATTTGTGTGATGATGATGAGAAGAGTATAAATAACGATTACTTTATTGGCAAGTGCTGGTGAGTCTAAGGAAATATTTTCCTGTCTATCTGTAAATTTGCTGTTTCGTTTTGTATTTCAGCCGTCTTATACCAGAAACTCTAAGGACTTTTAAGTTGCCAGCCGACTTAATGTTGGCATCCACAGTCAATGGTGCTGGTATCTTTTCATGTCTAACTCTGTTGAATGTGTTAGGGTCGGTCTTCCATTAACGTTTCAGCTTGACTGGTATTATTCGGCATCAACTTATACTTTCGTATTCATGTTGTTAACAAGTGCACAAATTTGAAGTACGGGCGTGCTACAAGAACAAGAGCAGAAGCAACTCACTTGTATTATTTTGGTAATAGCCGAGTGGAGGCATAAACTCATCAGCAAAGGCAGCAAGCAACTCACTTGTTCTTCTAACTGGACTGGGACACGGATGATGAAGACTGTAGAGGCAAAAGCTGATTTTGATCCTTTGGTGACTGTTTGTTTGTTTGGATTATGATGAATATATCCAGAATGCAGCATTTTGCCTTTAAGCTTAGCATTTTGAAGCCGTTATCTTCAAGGGACAAAATAAGAGAATAAATATTTAACAAGTGTCCCTCTTCTATTTACGTTTTCCTATGGCTTTACAAATCTTTTTCTCTCGTTTGACCCTCCCGATTCACTTGAATCCGAACGCCTCTTGGTTCTCCTTGTAGAATTCTACTAGATATCACATACCAGAAAAAAAAAAAAAAAAAAAAAAAAAAAAAAAAAAAAAATCCCTTTTTCATATAGTGTTGCATAAATAAATAAAAAACGCAAACTTTAAACCTAAAATTCAACAAAACATTCAAGAAAATCAGGAGATTCTGATCTCCAGCAGACTTGTTGAGAGTCCAGAATCGGAGAAAGCCGAAAACATATGTTCATCTTTAATGGCAACAACAATACAAATGCCACAACTACAACTGTATAATATATAAGACACCCTCTCTGTTTTTTCTTCTGTTTTTGGGGGTCAATCAGGACACCTCCCTAATACAGATGATTTTCGTTTTTGACTTTGTCTTTTGATTCAACCCAACCCAAATTTAATAGTTCACCTTTGGTCCAGGCCCAACCTTTGAATTGATCCATCAGCAGCGTTTACTTTATAGTTGACCATGACCAACCCAATATGGGCCAGGCCTCCTCAACCTGACCCATTGACGACCAAGCATTTTAATAGAAATAAATATAAAAATACTTTTTTGTTTTTACAGTTGAGATGGGAATGGGACAAGGAAACTGGGACCCACAATCTCCAGTTCGCGGGCATCAGCGGCTTACATGGTACGCTATAATTCGCCACCATTTCGTTCCTGTTCGTATTCTAATTTTCGTTCGTATTCTCGTATATGGACTCCTCATAGGTGGTAATTTTATTTTATCTTATTTTAAAGGCCTATAATTAAATTTTTAATACGAGTTTTGATGTGCAGCAAGCAACCTGCAAGCCAGCCCCGGTCCCCGGTCCCCGGCACAACACAACCTTCTTCACGAGATCAAAAAAGAGAGAGACAGAGACACTCCTCTTTCCAGATCTAAACACTTCGTAAACGTCATCGTTTCGATGGCCCTTCACTAGAAACCTCCGAGACTCCCCAGTTACTTTCCAATGGAGTCCGAACTCAAAGACCTCAATTCCAAACCAGCAAAGCCCGTCGCCGAAGACGGCTCCGGCGAGCCGGCCCACGACGATGCCTCAGGCAAGGATGATCGCCCGCTCCTTAAACCTGACCCGGCCCCACAAGTCTCCAGCGAGGAGCTCCAGGAGCTGGAGAAGAAATGCGCTGCATACGTACGGCGCGATGCGTACGGCACCATGGGACGAGGCGAGTTGACGGTGAAGGAGAAGGTGTTGCTGGGGCTTGCCCTGGTGACTCTGGTCCCGATACGCGTGGTGCTGGCCATGACCATCTTGGTAATCTATTACTTGATTTGTCGGATTTGCACGCTCTTCTCCGTCCCGAATCGCGACGAGGAGCAGGAGGATTACGCGCACATGGGCGGTTGGAGGAGGGCCGTGATTGTCCAGTGCGGCCGCTCCTTATCCAGACTTATGCTCTTCATCCTCGGCTTCTATTGGATCAACGAGACCTATCGGATACCGTCAGATGCTCAACCCAAGCCTACCACCGACGTACTCTCTCTCTTCCACACCACACACACACACACACACACAAATAAAATTTATCTGTGAAATTTGAGTAGTGATTTTTATTTTTATTTTTAAATTTATGACATTTTTGTTGTTGATTGGATTAGTGCAAAGATGAGAGCGAAGAAGAAGGGACTGAAAGGCCTGGGGCTATTATATCCAATCACGTTTCGTATTTGGATATCCTCTATCACATGTCTTCTTCCTTTCCGAGCTTCGTTGCTAAGGTCTGTTGCTTTCTTCAAATTTTTTTTCTTTAAAAAATAATAATAATTAAAATTTATCACTCCGCTATCAAAATTTTCAGACAGAATCCACTCTTATCTATTTACTTATGTATATATGTAATAATTCTGATCTAGTCGCTGACGCATTTCTGTTTGGGTCTGGATTTTATTGGTGCAGAGATCGGTGGCTAAACTTCCTCTAGTTGGCCTCATCAGGTTCGTCAAATTCGTTTTACCTTCCTTCAATTTCATCATAAGAGCACCATTTTGTCTTTGTGAATTTCTCTAATTTCTCTTCTTCTAGTATAGTATTAGTTTACCATAAATTTTACGGGATGGAATGCAATTCAGTTTCGGATCCTTATTTTTCACAGCAAGTGCCTCGGTTGTGTCTATGTTCAGCGGGAGTCAAAGTCATCTGACTTCAAGGGTGTTTCAGGTACTTAAATTGTGGATATTTCCGTGCTCTTTGTAATATTTGTTCTCAAAATTTGTGGAACATTGCGGATGCTCCTATTCTTTTTGGAAGGTTCCTTGTACTTGATAACTATAGTGGACCTGGACACAAGCATGCCAGACATATTGAAGTCATGAAATTCTTGCTGAAACAAATCTGTTGCTTTCTGATGTTATATTACTTATGTGATGATGTTGTTTGATTAATGTTTGTGTATCATTTGCAGGCGTTGTGACTGAAAGAGTTAAAGAGGCACATCAGAGTAATTCTGCCCCACCAATGATGCTTTTCCCAGGTTATAATTTTAAAAATCCATTGCCATTCTATTTTTCCCGTTTTGCATGACTGATTATTTGGCGGATTGGGGGCGACTTTGCAAGATTATGTTATAACCAAACCATGAAAGTAGAAGAGATTTCCTAATATAATGAGTTTTGTGTTGTTCTTATTCTTGTATGTCTTAATCATCATTTACCAAGCTATGAATTATCATGTAACTATGACTAAGCTATCCTGGCAGCATTTCTGTTGTCTGTGTGCTACTATGATGTTAACTTTTTATCTTTAATCTTTTCTACAGAGGGCACTACTACAAATGGAGACTTTCTTCTGCCATTCAAGACAGGAGCATTTCTAGCAAAAGCTCCAGTGCTTCCAGTTATTCTTAGGTATCCTTACCAGAGATTTAGTCCTGCATGGGACTCAATATCTGGGGTGAGTGTTTCTTAAGCATTTTCCATGATTACCTATAAAGAAATATATATATCATGTACAATAATTTATACAGAATACAAATAATAGGAATTTTGGGTTTGGGAAAGTTACTGAATGTGTCTCTCAATGTCCTCCTACTGAACCACTGTCTGGTCTTTAGTTCAGTAAAATCTTGGGAGAGCTGGTGGTTTGTTTATTTTTATTTTGAGTTGTTACTTAATACAGAACTGGCTAGGCACTGGAGCTTGCAGTCAGTGCTGCTGATAGAACTCTCAGGCTTGCAAACTATTTCATTATAGAGGCATATACTCTGTTTTACTTGGGCCGTTAAAATCCAGCCAAATGAATTATACAGTGTTTACTTTTTAGTTCCCAGTCAAATGCATTATATATACTTCCTCAAATGCATTATATATACTTCCTATCACACTTTTCTGGATTTACTTTGTTTTCAGGTGCGCCATGTGATATTTCTTTTCTGTCAATTTGTGAATCACATAGAGGTCACAAGGTTACCTGTTTATTACCCCTCACAGCAAGAAAAGGATGACCCAAAACTCTATGCGACCAATGTCAGAAGGTTGATGGCCAGTGAGGTATATGTTCCCCTTGAAAGTATATTATGAAAATAAGATCACATCTTCCGTTTCTCGCTTGAGATTGTGATGATCAACTAGGTAGATATTAATCATGGGAGCTTATGGTGTTTGTAACTCGATTCCGTCTGTGTTTCTGTTTTGTTTACAGGGTAAAATGACTCAATCAGATATTGGACTTGCTGAGAAGCGTGTATATCATGCTGCTCTTAATGGTAATAATAGCCGTCCTAGTGTTTTGCATCAGAAAGACGATTGATAAATTTCATCGCCTCGCTCCCAAATGATATCTAGTGGCAGTTGAGTTTCATAGTTTTCGTTGGTATTCGATCATGATTGCACAGCCACAGTGAGGGGGTGGTTATTATCATTATTAACTTGTAATGATGTGCCATTACTGAGCTAAGCCCATGGTGTGCCATTATTGACTTGTAATTCCAAGCTGATGGAAACTGTGGCCCTTATAAGAAAGATACGGGGTCTTAATGTGCTGGTGGATCTTTAACGCTAAAAGCATCCAATAATCTGAGAGAGTATAGCGTGTGGTGTTTGTATATTCAACATGTTTAACGCATTGCAACCGCCTTAGTCGAAACTTTGCACCTGTAAATCTGAAGCATCTCTTTCATGTTCCTGCAGGTTTGTTTTCCCAATGCTAATTCGGATCGCCATCTGTATATTCGTTGTATGATTCTATTTGTTATAGGGAAAAATTAAAATGGATATGGAATGCAGAAGAGTAATTTTTGTTTGGTCAGATGAGATGATTTTGTATTTATCTGATGCGTTGCTGTGGATTGATGGTGGCATGGCATTCTTAAAGCAGGCACTTTCTCGTTTCTGACTGTTGTATGTTCTTCTATCGGTTGATGGTGGGAATGGGATAGGGGAAGTTGCTTTATGTTCTTCTATCGGTTGATGGTGGGAATGGGATGGAGGAAGTTGCTTTATGCCGGTAATTGCCGAGCTGGTCTATATTGTATTGCATTACTCATATCCATTAACAGTACAACAGTTTAGGTTGTGATTGTTTTTATGATCCATCTCAATCTCATCCTTTCTACTGCTTCGTGTACATTTTATCGAACATGAATCCCATTCCCGCCTCCTAAGCCTTACTTGAGATGGGAATCAAAGTTTCTGCACGTTGATGCATTCATTTGCCAAGACAACGATGTTACAAGCTACGTTAACAGCACAATTTACACTTGGAGGAGTTTTGTCACATCTAACCTATGGAAGAAAAGGAAATACAAGCATTAAAAAAAGAAAAGAAACAAGAAAACTGGAGATAAAGAGAACTGATTAGCAATTTCTTCATGAATAACTAGAGTTACAACAATCACAAACATCGGTCCACAAACCTGGGAGAATAAAAACAATCTGAGTGATGGCAGCTTTCAATTGCTGACGCACAAAAACTTAGCAACAAATTCCCCTCATTAAAGGTTATGGACGCCATGCCAGTCATCATACTGTAGAACAGTTTCTCTCACCTTTCCTTCAAGGAACCATTGTTCGACCTTCTCAATTCCCATGGCGGTAAGCAGCCTTTTAGGGGTGACTGTAGAAATAATGATGACGATGACAATTGCTTCTGCCGCATTGAAATAGAAGACAGGCAACTGAACGTACTTCTCAAACTCCTCTTCTCGCTGTCATATGGCTGGCAGTTCGGGTCGTGTTGCACAGAAGAAATCTTTAGGGCTTCAGGAAGTACGCAGTTGCATACTGAACCTTCCACATATTAATAATCACATGGAATAAAGTTAATTTCAATTTGGATATTCCACGCACTGCTCCAAAATATACAAAGAGGACCAGATGAAACACAATTTGTAAGCATACACACAAAGAAAGATCTTAGCAAACGACAATCAGAATTCCATGTTTTAAGGTAAAATCAATCGATACAATTAGCAATCAACAACTATTGAAGTAAAGAACTGGGTTAATTAGTAATTCATCCGGAACATGTTTTAAGGTTGCTAAAAATTTCACTCTGAAATTTTCTGGCTGACATGGCAGGCAGGCTTATACGCAGCTTTAAAAGAAAGGTAATGGAAAATCTCTCTCACTGAACTTATGGGGAGGTAGACAACAAATAAGGGATTAAATAGCTAGCAATGATTCAAGTATAGTCAAATGAGTGCTTAAACCCAAAATGGCTAAGAACAATTCTTGATGGAAATTTTTGTGTGTAAACAATTCACCAAATCAAATTTCATACAACCCTGAAAAGAGTGGGTGATGAAAGAATACCTATTTTTGCCAGTCGATTTACCCATTTGGGAATCGATTTTCCGGTTAACTTGTGACAGATATCCCTGCAGAAATGGTTGCAGTTCTTGACAATCAGGTGATATGTATCACCATTGTAGCTCAAAGACTGGCGCTCCATAAACTCCCTAACCTGAGTAGGGTCCAAGGATGTGGTCCCAATAAATATAGACTTCCTGAACTTGAATCCTGGGCATTGGCGAGGTTCAACCTCAAAAACACCACTGGTAGGGTAGTCGTGTGCTCCAAATGCATATTCTACACCATGAACTGCACAATGCAAGTGAACTATTAGAAACTCTGAAATTACATTGAATTGAAGCAGCATAAAAAGAAGAATAACAATAGTAATTTGGTACTTTATTCCTTTGGAATTTCAGAAGCACCAAACCTATATAGCATTCAGTAAAACAAGATGAAACATAAGACTCAAAACCCCCACAAATACAGGAACAAAAAGAGGCATGGCTCGGATTGAACACAACCTACATTTGGCAGGTAATATAAACCGAACATAAGCTTACCTTCAACACCAGAGTGAAAAATTCCAAGGCCTGCCCAATAGACATAGCCATTCATGGGTGTCAAATCATATACATTGAGATAAACTGGTGCTTTTCTCGGATCAGAGCGATCTGACTTTGATTTGGGAAATAAACAAAAACGGCCAGCTGATTTGTTTTTCAATTGATGTGGGGCAATGGCTCTCCATCTTTTCTTCAATTCAAATTTCATGTTTCTTTGATAGTATAGCCAGAATTCAGTCAATGCTTCCAGCCTGTGCATATGGGTGGACATAAAGGCATTAGTTATGTTTCAAAGAACTCCAACTAAATCCGGAGGATGATAAAGGAAACGGCAAGAAAGAAAGAAAGAAGAAGAGATTTTAACAGAGCCAATTATTCTCCATATACAGACTTGTTAACATGTCAGAAACCATCACAGCACCGCACAGGTTGACTTTAATTCTAATTTCTTTTGAAAATTAGTTAGTTAGTTAGTTTGAATACATATGAGGTTGGCAGAGAGAGGATGGCTTTTTAGTCAACTCAAAAATCTTAAGAATGAGTAATCCAACTAATTACAGTTGGCAAACAAGAACATTTGAAATTGAAATCACCCAAATGCATCAAATACGTAGTGTTGATGACCCTACATTAGTATTACAACCCAAGGATGAAATGTAGTGGTATTAACACCAAAAGCTCAACACAAATTTGGCTCATTTGCATGCAACAGAAATCAAACTCAACAGAGTTTTCTGAACAACCTCCCAGTCATTGCAGATTATCAATATCATACAATTCGTTGTAATTTTTATTTTTATTTTTTTAAAGAAAGAAAGAAAGAAAGTTTCCTGCAAAGAAAGTTTCCTGCTGTCTAACTAAACTATTATCGAGAAAGAGAAAACTTAATCCAATAAATATAACCCTAAAAGTGAATTTTAAGTGCTGCATTGACCAGAGTTGCAGCATTATCTTCAAGCCAACAAAGAAAATGAACAATTTAGATGGATAATCAAGATAACAGGCTCTCCATTGCAGATCTCACAGTATACAGAGATCTACATCAGATCTAGTTTGACGAGTGATGAAGCAGAGAAATACGTAACGAAGATAACAAATAAAGGAGCCTGCTTTTTTCATTACAACTTAACAGGCAGCCAAGAACAAACATTGTAGCCACTAATCTTACGCTAAAACAAAAACAAAAACAAAGGGAAAAAAGCAGAGTCATTCATCCAGAAAAAGAAAATTGCAGACTTGTGGTTTCTGGGAAAAACTAAAGAAGGAAAAAACATTGAATTTAACAGTCTTTTCGAAACTCAGTCCATTAAAATTCCCACTTAATTGTTCGTTTTCCCGAGATTTCTCAGATTCCAAACAGGAGGACCCAAAAGATAATCAACACCAAGCAGATAGAGGAAGTAATAAAGCGAAAGTAATTTAAAGAAAAAAGGAAAGAAATATTCTAAGAAAACATGGAGAATCGTGGGACTCACAGATTCAGAGAGGGCAGTAGTCATTAGAGAAGAGCAAAACCCAACTTCTCTGAACAGTAAAACAGCTGTGTTTCAGTTCAGTATTTTTTCAGAGCCAGAATGCCACCAACCAACTGCTATGAAATGAAAGGCCTTTGTATCCTGCTGCCAACTCTCTCTCTCTCTGTCTCTCACTCTGCTAGTGTGCTAATGTGCTGTGTCTCTGTTAAATCACAATGTTTTGGAAAAATCTGATTCTGATGGCAAGAGGAATATCATTATTAGAGTGTAAGAAAGCAGTCATCTCTATTATTATTATTACAGTCGCAAATATCACCGTCTACTTAATCAAGTCTACATTTTATTTTATTTTAAAACTTTTTTTCAATTTAAGCTCACCACCAACTAAAACAATAATCAGGGAAAATTGAATTGGTGTTAATGGATAATATATCTCCGTGACCTGAAGAAGCAGACTCGAGTAAAGTAACTTCCCTTTCTCAACGGATTGGTGCGTCGTCGTTTTCTGTTTGTATTTCTTCTGGGATATGAATGATCAAAAGAAAAAAGAAATTTAAATAAACAACTTAATGATATTTTCTTTCTGTTTTTTACGTAAACAATTGCTGAGGTGTCACATCCACATGTGCCCATAATTATTGTGGGGGCTTTATAATAGTTTTTTCTGCAGCCAGACGGTGAGACAATTAGTCAATTTGACTTGTGGGTAATAAATTTCAAAGGAAACCGAAGTAGAAAAGAAACAGCAGCACAAGGACAATTTACAGATTTAAACACATGTGAAAACAGGAATTGCCATGAAGTTTATACTTAAACGTGATTAGAAAAATCATAGTGTTCTTTTCAAAAGCAGATGCTTCTTTTTGTGAAAAGACTAATGGTTTTAAGCTAGCAATAAGTAGATCATTAATGACTTTAAAACCCAATTCTATAATTCAATAATTGCTTAATAATAATAAACCAAATATTTTTTGTATTAAAATTTGAATTATTACTACTAGTATGTCTTTTTTTTTTAAATTGAAAAAAAATTTAAAGGGAGGGGAGGCTACCCATTCCAGGATCAGAGCATACTAAGACCTCTTTGAGAACTTATAAATGGAGTCTTAGCTCATTTTTTAGTTTTTACAAATTACCCGCAAAGAGGAATTGTCTGCAGTAAGACTCGAACCTAAACATTAATAGCGAAAAAAAGGATTATTACCGATTCAAACAATTTTCCTGCTTTTATGTCTTTGGATTATAGCAAGAGAGTGAGTATTGACAAATGTGTGGGTGAGCAACAGTATTGGCAGCTGATGATCAATTAAGGCCTCCACGGACATCTTGTTTGTGCTGCTTGCCTTCGTCTACTTTCTAATTTCCTCCTCCTACGAACATTCAACACCACTCATTTAATATCAGCCAGCCCTGAAAAATATCTATAATAATAATTTAATTAATTAATTAGTAGACACTTAGACAGCGATCGCTAAATTATGAGTCAAGTGAAATATATATGTCCCAATTCCATTGTTTGAAGACTCTGAACAATCCTTCTCATTTATAATATGATCCACCACCAGATTCTTCATAGCTTTTTAGGGGAAAATTGAAAATGAAATCCCTAACAAATGGACAGAAGTAATCTATTGTTAAATTACAAATGTGAGTTATGTTAGTTGATGGAGTTAGCGTGTCTGTTACATTTCTCCCGAGTCTCCGCACATTAGAATTATAATCATCGTTATTGTCAAAAATAAAATTTAATAGAAATTATTACATGTAAAAACTTTGATTATGAGTATGTGGGTCCCGCGACAGTTGGCGACATCAATCAATCGTATCGTGTCGATCATCTAAACAGTAAGGTGTTAGTATTGTGTATTCACCAGACTGCAGTGTCGTTTTAGCGCGAGACGACAAATGTAGTTAAAAAATGAAACGCTAGAAACGACAAGCGTATTGTATTCATCATGTGAATAAAGCTGTCGAGTCGAGTCGAGTCGAGTGGTACAGCTGGTAAGCCAAATCACCTTTAAAATTAGGATGGGACCCAGTCGGTCAGAGTGTCGACTGCTGTCTTTCTTTTATAATTTTCCATTTTTGGGCACAGTGTACTGTCGTTTTAATCCAATAGTGGTGTGGTGGTGGTAATTTAGGCAATTTTTTTCTTTCTTCAAATTGTTAATGGGCTCAGCATGCGGCCCATCATATATAGCTATAGCTTATCTGCAATCAAAATGATATGTGCACTTCAAATTAACAAGAACTGAACCAGTGTATTTTCTGACGGGCGGATTCAACTTCAAATTGTCAAAGTGCGCCAAGTGAATTGAAATGATTCCAGGCTTCCTGTATGCCCAAAAACACAAAAATTAAATGAGAAACAAAAGAAAAAAGTATGATTTGGCAATGCCCCACGAGTGTTTATGATGTGATTCTTAGTAAATTAGGTACCTGCAAGATATCAAAAACTTTGGCTGCAATGTATTTCTGATGTGAAGCAGCACCTTTCTGCTGCAGCTTATCTGGGTGTAAACAGAGCAGAGCCCTTTGGTATGCTCTTTTCACAGAGTTTCCTTCAATTACATCAACAAGCGGTACAGTCTTCCACCCGCTCTCAGGCCAAAGAACCTGCCATGCATAAGATAAATATTTAGTCAGTTCCATTCTTTGAGTGGCAACCAAGTTTTTTTTGCCTTGAAGCATACTATTATTATGCAGTATTAGAGGCTGATCAAAGAAAACAGAAAAATGACAATACGAGAGTTTGACAAATCAATGCTCTCACATATTGCATGGTAGTCAATAACGAGCGTATGTTTCCTTCCTTTCCTCTTGACCACTGTCGTATTTTCGCATCAATTGCCTGCATTTTATGAACTAGTACATTACTGCTAGCAGGATAAAAGACAGAATTGTAGCAGCATGCTGTGTTTGTTTGCTTTGTATTTTACCTGGATTTCTTCATGATTTTTGCCAGCTTGTGGCTGTTTCTTCTCATCTTGAGTCAATTCTTTGACCTGCCAACAATGTAATAGCTTATCAGAAAACCTGGTAGGAACTATGACTTTCACAAAAAGTATAACATTGCTCAAATTCAAATTTTAGTTCCTTAATATTATTGTTAGGCATAGTATGCATAAACATAATTGGCATGGGAATTCCGAGTTTGTTTACTTCAATCAAAATACAGAATGGACTGAACGAAACTTCGTTCATGGCAAATGAGTGCACGTTATAAGAATACAAGAAAAGATGAAAACAGTTGTTTTACAGAAGAACCACATACCAGGAAGCACTCATCTGCATCTCCAGTAATAGCCACGGGGTCGTGAGGAACTGATCCTGTCAGATGTCAGCACTTAATGAATAAGATGTATGTTGTTTTGTTTGCATAGGCCAGCAATCTGTTCAGGCTTAGCTCAAAAATATCCCCATAATGACTAAAGATTTCTAATGTTGTTGTCTACCACTTCTTCCACTACTCAAGTGTTTAGCTAAGCCACATTACTTATATAGGATTAAGAGAACTAACCAGTACTTGATGCTGAGACGTCCTGCCCAGGAGCATTACTAAGTACATAGCTAGCAGTCTTTGCTTCACAATATTCTTTCTCTAACTGTTTGAGATCTTCATTCATCTGAAAAGAGTAGAAAACAGAATAAGATACTTAGCAAAATGTTGAAGAAAACATACTGTTAGTTTTTAGGTATGTGAACTCAGACCATTCTAACTTGATTACCATGATGGAAGCATTTGGAAATGGGCTTTTCACATTGGACTTTTGCAAGTCCTCGGACATTCTTGCTGCGCTAATACTCGCTACATTCTCTGCTCTGAAAGCTCCTTTCTCCTTCGTTTTATATCTCAGACTTCCAAGATCACCATCATATGCGGGTTTGCACAAAACTTCTTGGTTGAACATCTTAACAAAGTCCTTGACTTTACCCTTAACTTTGCTTCTTTCAAGATTATCTCTTGAGTCCCTTGGTGAAACTTGGAAACTAGCTTTATCAACATCAACATTCGTCAAGGAACTCCTTTTTCCATTCTGATTTTTTGCAATTTTGTTACAGCCAACATCTAGAGATGATTTTTTGGTGCCTTTGACCACACTTTCCTTTCTACCACCCACTTTAAATATCCCATCATTGCCTGCATAAGAAAATACAAATGTGGTGTTAGAGGCAGTGTATCATGAACCCCGTAACAGTAAATACATAAGAAAACATACCTTGTTGAAAATCATCATCAAAAAACAAAGAACTACTAGGTTTTAGATCAGGCTCGCTAACTTGTTCCAAAAGCACAGGACTTTCTTTTTGTGGGGCTTTGCCAGAAGCTGTTTCAAGTAAAGGATAAGGCTCTATATCTTCACTTCTACGGCATGAGACCGTATTACCAGAAACATCTTCAATAGTTTTATGAAGCCTGCTGAAGGGTTCTGATTCAGCTACTGGAAGAATTGCTTCCTCAAAAAATTGGCATGGTTCTACTTTAGCAGGACCGCTTTCATCAAGAAGCAAGTCATTTTCTTGTTTGTTTGGTTCCAAGGTGGGAGACCTAGCATCTGCATCCGCATCCGCATCCGCGAGTGGATGGTCATTGGAGGGAAAATCAATATTAGGCAGAGTGGATTTGGGTGATTGCCTTGCCATACTCACATTAGCAGCGCATTCATTAGTATTTGAGTGTTCCTCATTATTAGTCCTTTTCTGCCCTCTTGAGCCAGTCCGTCGCCTAAGAGGCATCGCAATTGGCACTCCTTTGCTTGCCCACTTGTATATTGAGAAATGAAATTGAAACGGACTGCTAGAGGTTGGACTTTCTTTACTCTTTGAATCCTGCTCCAAATTGCCTCCTGTGTCGGCTTTATCAGATGTGGCCAAGTCTGAGCACCCCTCACCACTACCAGAAAACTCCCGGGATCGGATATCATTTTTCAAATCCTCAGGACTCTGGATTGATTGGCTTGAAAATCTAGAAAGGGAAGTAGTACGACTAGTGGAACCAAATGTTGGCAGGTCCACCCCTTTGGTTAATCTGGTAGGCAGGCTGAGAAATTTAGAGCCATTGAGGTAATCAAAACATCATGTACAACGCCCAAAAAACATAGAAACATCATGTGCAAATCAGAACACAAAACATGGAAGTGTGTTCATAGCCAGAACAGATTTGGTAGAAGAGTGATGTGAAGTAGCCAAGTATACCAAATTACAATGAACAAAAATTGCAGCCACAAGAATCAGTTAAAGAAAAAAGGACCTGAAACAAAAGATTAAACCAATTACTAGCTGCCACTCAAACATATTGTATCTCTTCTCCCTCAAGATTCTATGGTACCTGAATTGTCTGGGCAGTAAAGCAGCCGCAGCGGGCTCGACTTTAGGGGGCAGGGGCCGGGCAGGGCTTAAAACCCTGGAACCTGGTGCTGAAGAAAAAGGATCCCGCTGAAGCCTCCTGGGACTGGAGCTGACCGAGCTATTGCCTCTAAATATGTCATCAAAGAAGTTTTCGCTCTGGGTCCTCCTTCTGTTCATAGCCTCATCCCCAAACACTGGCTTCTCAGTGGAACCAGACCAAGCTTCATCGTCTTCGTCGTCGTCATCATCAACAACCCTTTTCAATGCATTGTTATCTGTAACTATGCTGAAGCTGTACCTCTTTTCGTGAATGGATGACCTCCTAGGTGGCCCGCCAAACACGTCATGAAAATCAACATCTGAGTTTTTGTTGGAAGTACTGGGCGAAGAAGAACCAGAGTTCATGAAGGAACTTTGAGGACTGTAGCCCAGAAGAAGGCCCTCTCTTTGTGAAAATCTCTCCATCTTGGTCCCTACCCAGTACCCACTAGCTGTTCACTGAAACAAAGCATGCAACCAGAGGACAATTTGAACGAGAAAATTTGGCGGGCAGCTGTTCTTGAAATTTCTCTGCTGAAGTGAAGAATGGCAATTAATGGGTTCGGCCGTAAAAGTTCTTGAAACAGTTGCAGAGGATATTGTGTCGGAAAATTCAGATGGAGACAGAGTGGGCTTTAAGGTTAAGAATGTTTTAGTGGGATTTGAAGCCACACAACACAAAGACAGTGGATATGAGTTTTTTTGGATAAGTGGAAGAGTCCAAAAGACTAGAGGGGAAGGTATTGCCTTATTGGGCAATTAGGATTTTAGGATTTTGTTTTGGTATGCACCGGAAAATCTGTTAATTGCTGTGCATCTCATGGTGACCATTATTCAGATTTTTTTTTTTTTTTGGGTGACTCTTAACGAACTTGGTTATCCCATTCACGCACGGTCAGCAATTGCGATGATTGCCTACATATGCTGAGAAATCTTGATTACAAAGAGACCAGATCTCTTGGTGATATCTTTTGTGGTGATCAAAAATAGGATAAAAGTTCTTGAAAAGGTAAGAAATGGTGTGAATTATACGGGCTTCATGCTCAAGTGTTGTATTGTGTTGATTAAATTGATTACTCTGAAACGTCCTTAGCAAAGTCTCTTCATGAATCATGCAAGTTGATCATGAGCAACTTCACTGTTACGATGATAATTCCAACCCAACGAGGTTGTATACACAAAATCCACTTTAGAAGAAATTCAATCAAGTAAATATACAGATGACAAAGCTTTCAAATTGTCAATCACCAAAGATGGCAAACCATTATCTGACATTTCTTGGTGTATATATATGATACAGAATAAATGTCATCTCAGGAGATACTCTAGTGAAACTCAGAAAGTTACTATCCATACAAAACAAAAATTTGAAAGGAAACTCAGGGGGAAAAAGAAGAAGAAGAAAAAAAGAGACTTTGAAATGGCCTCAGAAGATGCAATCGATTTCGCCTCTACCTGTATCAGTTGAATTACAGAGCGTGTGTACTGTTTAGCCCATCCATGGGTCTGTAGAACTATCACTACCATTGAGAACCCTCGGGGAAAGGTTCCAGCGCATCTTGCTTGCCGTTAACATAGAACTCCATAATTGCCTTCATCCTTGGAAGTTTATCTGGGTGGTAATTTACATGAAGGATTACTGGTTTCAATTTTTTCAAATTAGCATCTTTCCTGACTGTCTTGAAGAGGACCTTGCTGTTCATAAAGAGATAGAAATCCATAGTTCTCTTGGAAGCATGAAGCCCATCGTACCCCGGATGTGAAGGGAAAAAGAGTTCCTCATTGAACACTGCTTGGTCCCATGCTTTTTCCTTAGAGAGCCGTCCAGCCACACGATCTAAAAGCTCAATTGAAGGAAGTGTAGGTCTTATGTAAAAGAACCCAGAGTTATATACCCATATCCTCATTGTATGAGCATAGCGAGCCCAACCCATAGAAGGTTCATCAAACACATCATTAAATCCATAAGCGGTCATGTTATTGTGACCATCACTCATAGACTCTACATCAGAATCCCGATAAAGATGATTGAAGGGGTTCTGCAAATATACTATATCAACATCTGAGAGAAGAACACTGTAACCTAGTTGCAGAAACTCCCTCAAGATACGAAATTTCAACCCAGAGACAGCATGGTTACCTCCTGTCTTTGCAATTGAATCAATACCCTCATCTGGATCTCTCTTGTATACAGGAACATCATTAGCTATGCAAAATTCTTCAATCTCGTCATCTAATCCTACAACTAGATAATTGGTTATACCAACCCTCTTGATGCTAGTAAACCATATCTCCAACATGGCTTTCACATTTGAATTTGCAAGTGCAACTATAAGCTCTTTCTGAACTGTAACATCCTCCAAGATCTTTGCCAACCTCGGATTCACAGAATCATCGGGAATGACAGTCGGGTTAGTTCTCAAGCCCTTGACAGTACCAGGAGGGCCAGCCTTATGCGGTTTACCTAATACTGAAAACTGCTCACGTGCGTGATCCTTTCCTTGTTCAGCTAGCCGTAGCTTTTCAGTTAGATCTTGAACCTGTTTCTTCAGCTCGTCATTCTTGTCCGACAGCGATCCAATGTCAGACCTCAGCATGTTTATCCGTTCTGTTGATTCACATTGGGATGAGCTAGTCTGCAAATGCAGGTGGGCAAGTAAGGCCCCATAACATAAACTATAATATATCGAAAGTTAAAGAGATCAGCTTTATAATACTGTCTTTTTAAAACACCAATCATGAAACAAGCCTGTAAATATAATGCAGTTCCTTATTGTTTTACGGACTAGAATTGATCGTTGAATTAAACCCAAATGCTCACAACGTAAGCTGTATATATAAGTTTAACTCTACATATAAAAGTTCAACCGTCAGCTTAATGCCGTTGAAGATTGAAAGCCAATCACAACATCTAAGTAAAGAAAAGAAATCCCAGCAAATGCAAACTGGCATAACCAAATCACTCACTGATGCGATTAAGATTGTATAAGCGCCAAATTCAAAGTTAAAGAAATTAAATTAAAATTAAAATTAAAGGAGCAAAAAGTCAGTCAATTTGGAACCGAGATCCGAACCTGGAGATCCAATTTCCCGAATCGACGGCCTTGGATAGGCGGATCCAAGCTGAAGAATCCGCGCGGAAAGAAGAAGGCGCAGACCGAGCCAAGAAGGACTCCGACGACAATGGCTGTCACTATTCGAGATCCACGAAATGACTGGGTCTTATCCCGCATCAACGACCCGTCTCTACGACCCGCCATGCCCTCCTTCCCTTTCCCTCGAGCCGTACACAGTCGTTCTTGAGAGAGATGGAATATCACAGTCGCTGATTAGGGTTCTAGTGCTGCTGCTTGAATGGAAAGTCAGGGAAGCGAAGGTGGAGCTGCTCTCTCTCCTTTTATGAATTATCGAAAATGCAAGCGGAGCTACGAGGAAGGCATTTTCGTTGCTTACTCTCTCCTCTCCAAGAGAGTCTGACAGAGAGACGAGCTGGATCGACCGGGCAAGGATACGGTGTTTTGCATACAAGGAACTAAAGGACCATCATTGCTCTCGTTTTTTGGCATATCGGCCAAGATTCGGTGTTTTTTTTATGCTGTTGTAGACTTTGACATCCGACAACCCAGAAAATAAAGAAAAAGAAAAAAAAAAATCGACAGACGGAAGGGAGTAATGCAGAAGGGCCCAGGCCCAGCGCAAATTTTCAATTCGGTGCTTGAAGTGAAGGTGGTGTTTTTCAATTTTCCAATTACCGTCTAAATGGCTTTTTTTTTTCTTTTTTTTTCTTGGGGGTCAAACCGTCTAAATGCTTAGCATTATACTCTTTTACCTTTCAAACAGTTAGCAAATAAATAAAAACTAAAAAGAAGAATATGATAAAGAAAAAGTTAAATGTTACGCCAAAAGAAAAAAGCAAAAGGAAATGCTTTACCGAAAAAGGAAAAATGCGCAAGGAAATGCAGTAGTAGCAAGGCTTTCAACTTGGAAGGGAATATTCCCTACTTGTCTCATCTACATTTTCTGAAAGAAATAAAAAAACCGTGTATATGGGAGATAAGACAAGGACAGACCCAGATATATTCCCAAAAAGAGGACTCCCATATGTCTCTACATGCATTTGATACCGCACAGGAAGTCAATGGGACTCAGAACCAAGAAGAGTGCGTATGGATTTTATCCACACATGAGAGAAATGAAACTAAATAAAAACAATTTACAAAAAAAGAGTGAAATGTAGCATATACAAATGAGAGAGAGAGAGAGAGAGAGAGAGTCCAATTTTGTGTCATGCATCACTCGAACTGGTTACATATGAAACTACAACAGTTATATCATCGAGCTTGCCACCATAATAACGGAACCCAGCATCTTGAGCAGCAGTCGAGAAAGGTGTCTGCCGGTCTCTATCCTGAGCTCGTTGGCGTGCCAATGCTGCTATCTTTTGTGCTGTCACCTGAGGCCCCAAGCCAGCTCTTATGGCATGAACTACCACTGCAGTAATCTCATTGTTATACAAGTTGTCAAACAGGCCATCAGTTCCGGCAATTATAACATCCCCAGGTGCAACAGGAACTGTAAAAACCTGAATCAAACAAAGGAAACTTAGCTTGTGATATGTACTACAATCATTCCAGGTCTCATTTGACACATTGCTGAAAAATCATGAAATCACATTCTCCTTGTTTCTGCTACAAACTCAAAAAGATCTATTTCAAGATACTAATCAACCATCGTAAAAAAGTTTGAGAAACAAAAACCAGATATCGGACAGCAAGATTTGCAAAGAAATCAAGAATGAAACTCACAAGTAGAAGATACATTACAAACCAAGAATGTAATGAAGAATAATACGTAAGCCATTAGGTAAGAGTCCTAAAGAAAATATGTTGCTGACCTGGCCAGAGCTAGGTAGATCACCGTTGCTTCCACTCTCCAGTTGATAGGTAAAGTTAAAATCATGCTGTTGCACAGGGGATCTAAAGACGGTGCACCCATCTCGAACCACTATGAACCCACTATCACCTAAATTAATTGCATGAATACCCTGCAGTGAAATCGCAAACAGTTAATTTAAGTTTCTAAATAGTCAGTATGATAAGATAGCAATATTTCAAGATTCTTGAATATACAATAAATATCAACACAAACTGCTCTTACAAGAAAACAATGAAGAGTTTAGACTTCCGAAGTTAGTTTTACTACATCCCGCTACATAAAGAGTTAATTAGTTCAACATAAGCCATTTTTTAAATGGCCTCAGAAAAAAAGGATATGTGTTCCCTTGACTAGCAAGAAGCAAGGGTATCACTTTGACAGACATGATTAAAATGAAGGGAAGTTCCATACCTGTTCTGTGAGTGCTATGATACATGCTGTTGAGGAACCCTTGGCCTTTGTGCTTGAGTGAGCTTTCTCCAATACCCTAGCAGGGTCAACTGAACCCTTGGGCTCCTCCTGAACAGCAGCTACAGAATTAGACATCAGTTCTCTGGAATACAATCCAGAATTAACACCAAGATCTGCCCAGCCACCAACACCATCTGCCACCCCTATTGCTTGTTCATTCACACAAATGAAGTGAGCATCCTCCCCGCCAGTTTCCTCTTTATCAGGATGGGGCAGGTAATATGATCCTGAAGTTAGTTTTAGGGACTTTCCATCTGTAATCTTCCTGTAATCATTGTAACATGCTTTAACAAATGCTGAGACTCATTGCACTACTTCAATACAAACTTAAATGCCAGTACAACTACATAAAACAACAAATAAATAAAATCTAAGAAACAAAGATGGAAAAACAGAGAATGCTACTCACTGATCAGATGAATCTGCAGAACTTGAAAGTTGCTCCTCAGGAGCAGAATTATCAAAAGACACGTCATGGGCAGTCCCTGCAGATAAGCATGTAGACGAACTATGAAATTCTCTTGACCCTGATCCTTTAGTTGGGGAGGAATTAGACCATCTCTTTCCAACTTCATATATGAAATACCCATAAATTGCGTTAGTGTTGGATAGCCCTCTTTTTTTCAAACTCATGCTAGCTGCTTGAAAACAGTCAGAACCTTTCCTGTTGTTATAAAATGTACATGAACTTTCAGGTACCATTGAAAGAAGCCCACGCCTTGAAGTAAAATTATCAGGGTAAAATCCCCCAACTACAGTTCTAGAACCACAGGCAGCCATAGGTTTATTCTGAAACTTGCTTCTGGTTGTAAACTGACAGGGCTCAGAAAGCGCACAATCAATATGATAGCCACAAACCTGAAGTGAAGGCCCCGACACAGATGGGGTTGAAATAATACGCGAAATCTCTCCAACAACAGATATGTTCTTTCTTTGGTTAACTAACTGCGAATCCGACCTTGCAGCGAAAACGGTGCCTGGTGAAAGAAACGCATGGAGATCTGAGATAGTTGAAAATGGTCTGGATTGGAACAACTTAGAATTGCCAAACAACAATTTTCCTTGCCCAATTAGCCCATCTAGTGAGTCCTGAAGCCCACCTTCCTGCCCTACAATCGATCTCTGTAATGCAGTCCTAAGCTTTGACAAATGAGAAGATGGCATCTTACCCTCTTAAACAAAAGAGCTTAGCTTCAACCCCTCTAGCGCAGAGAACACAAAGGTTTCCACTGTGCGCAAAATTAAATCTCATAACTATCTGCACATCTATTCTTAAATTAATTCAATACGTGATCCCCCTTCTCCCACCAATATATCACAACAATTCAGAAACCTCAGAAATAAACAAAGATGGTGCACAATTCGTATCTGCACATAGCCACAGACAAATATATATAATCACACACACAAATCAGAAAACTTGAAAAGAAAAAAATACAGTAGCATGCTAACAAGTATCTATCAACATCAAGATATAACAAAATTCCTGGAAAACAGTAAAATGAAAATACAATTAATCCAAAAACCCAAAAGCCATAGTTAAAATAATGGAAAATAGCCGAAAAATTAAAAAAATGGAAATCTCACCAAGCTTATCGATCGGAATCGAAACTCCGGCCCTAAAAAGCAAGAAGCATACCCAAAAACCACTACGAGTTCTTCGAATCCCAAATCTCCACTTATATTATACGAAACAGAGCTCGGGCTAGATGTCAATCTTGGAGTTAGGTGGCACCACGAGCCCCCATATCCAACTCTCTTCCCCTTCAAACTCCAACAAATTTCACGATCGCCTTCAACGGTTAAAAAAGGGTAAGAGTCCAGAAGTTTCTTATGGTACGGGTTTTATGCTAGGGTTTTTACTTCAGATTGTTTTGTGACTATTTCACCACTGGTCGTACTGATATTTACGGAACACGTCTGCTCGTTTCTGATCTGAAACGAGGGGGGTTTGGTAATTATGTGGACAACTAAACAACCAGATTGGACCGGTACGTGAAGACTTTTTTATCATAAGCCTTTACCATATTTTCATGATTTTGTCCAATATAGTAGGAAGATAAGCTGGTGGTCTTCGTTCGCTTTGGTGCGCTGCGAATATACTTTATGTTTTGGGAAAATACATCCGCCGTCGGATTTTACTTATATTTACAAAATGACCTCCATATGCTTACAAACCAACCCCGTACTTTACCCTTATGACAAAATAACCCCAGACCTTAATCAAATTTAATCTTTTAACTATAGTGATCATTTTATAAAACAAAACAGTTTAAGATAAAATAAACCATAATGGTCAATGGGACTGGATTGGTGGTTTCTCGGCTATGCCTTGCATCTTGCTAACTAACTTAACTGTTTTCCTTTGATTGTGGAGTTCAACTCTCAGTTAGCTATGGAGTTTGTGAATGCGCCTTGTTGTAACTCTTTTCATCATTTATTCAACCGTATTTATAGTTACAAAGTTATAACGACTGGTGGTGTGTGTTAAATTCAACATGTTTTTAGAGAAAGTAATTATGTTGCTGATATGCTTGCTATTAGTATAGGAGTCACCAAGCCTTTGGGTCTTCAAATTTGGGATGTCGCCCTACCAGCTGAGAACAAATTAATTTTTAATGATTTGTGTAGAGTTTCTTTACTTATACCAATTGTTCCTTGGTGTTCTTACTGGGCGTTTGCCCTCCACTTTACCCCCCAAAAAAACCATAATGATCTTACACGTGTAGTACAATGAGAATTAAAATAGAATGAGATAATGTAAGATATATCATAAGCAAAATGAGAATAAAAGTATAAAATAGTTGGAAGTGGGATGTTGATGAATTTTTTATATATTTTTATTTAGTTAAATCGGCATATATGCCTATCAATTATAATTGGATTTCAATATATTGTTAAAACTACGCAAAAGAATTGAAGTGGATTCTGATAGTTCCTTTTGTATTTTCTTGTTTCTTCTCCTTTACACATTTTGGCAGAATGAAGATGGTGCCTTCGTCTTTCTTGAAGATGCTTGTGCCTATTCCAACTAAAAGTCGGAGAGTTTTGTGGATTTGCTTGAAATTAGGAAATCAATAAGAAAATATGATTACGGTGGCTATGGACTTGCTCCCATAGTGAAGGCCTGGTTGGCAATCCACATGTGAAGAGCCCATTTAGCGTTCGTATTGTTGGAATTACTAGCTAAAGTTGCGAGCCTTAAGATAATGTACATAATAAACAAACGTTCTTTCAATTATTTCTCTTTCCATAATTTCATCCAAGGAGCTTTAATGTACAACAAGACATATAAACCCCAACAAAATTTCAGTTTGGAATCTTCCTGAAGAGGATTTGAGCGCCATACTGGGGCTGTAAACTTATAAACAACATTGGAGCATGAACATATGTAGGTGACACCGTGACAGAATAGTGCCGGATGATGATTGCTAAGACCAGTTTTGCTTCAACCAAAGCTAAATTTTGACCTGCACAGATTCTAGGCCCCAGACCAAACGGAAAATATGATGCTAAATGCCTTCGAGACTCCGAAAACCTCATCGGGTTGAATTCATTGGCATCTTCTCCCCATATCTC